TCTAACAATGTAGTATAGGTTAAATCATTTATGCTTACAGTAAATACATTTTTGCTGTCATTGGAAGTTAATTAAAAACTTTCATAAAAAATATGTGTACGGAACACTTATGCCATTTCATTGCCTTTGAAATCTAGCAAGACAAATGTTGTATAACATTAACAATGACTCGTTTTGTTCCAGTGTGCCAGCATGCACAATACCAGGATCTTGAAACTAAAGCAGCTTCATTGAAATTCAACCATTATTGATTTTCTTATTGTGACATGTCAAAATATTTTCTGCAAAGAACACACATCAGCATTCACATGGAGTCTGAGTCTTTAGAGAAAAACTCAATGTGGATTATATACAGCTATTCAAAGCCCACATCTGTGGTTGGTCTTACATAAAATAAAATGTAGCATGACATGACATGCTAATGTACGAAATTTATTTTTAGCAGATTTGTGTTGCAGTTGTATCTTCAGTCATGATTTTCTCGTTGGAGAACTTGTTGTGCAGACTAAAAATATTTTGTTGTATGCTGTAATTATTGCTGCTTGTACTGTCAAGAAAACTGCTTGTACTGTCACAAGCAGTTTTCAATTCAGTACACACTGTACAAATGCGCTGCGAAGGAGGGTCTGTTGTTATTGTTTTGTTTGTGAAGGCATCCCTTCCTGCGATTATGTGATGATTGTGTGACAGGATGTTGCTGCTGATAACATGGCTGCTGGAGCACTTTTTTGTTGCTGTCAGAGACCAGCTGATATGAGGCTTGTTATTTTTGCATCAGTATTTGTTAATATCGTACTATTTCTGTCTAATATTTTTCAGCATATTTGTGAAGCTCATATTTGTCTCCCTGCTCTGATTAATGAACAGCAAGTGAACCAAGGAATTAACTAAGTAGGTTTTTTGAATTGCTCACCTTTTTGGATGCTGCAATGGACAATGGTAGATTTTATCCTCTAAGAATTACACTGACATGAGGTGTAATCTAGATTATATAATACAGAATATTTGGTCAATGGCAGTGTTTTTTTTTTAATTATTTATTAATTGCAAAAACTAGAACCACAAAAATATTGGTGCCAGCCTTATATTTTTATGCTGAAAGGTACAACTGGGACCGAAACTAGATGATTTGTTGAAGAGGAAACCAAATTTCACTAAAATAGTAATGAGATAGGAATATATTGGAGAGCTTTCGTACCCTTAGCAAGTCAGCAATTGCTGGCCTCATGATGTTATACAAAAGTGGGAAGCTGAGTGCTAGAATAAGTGAGATACTGGACTCTGAATAGACAGGATCCATTACAGTGCAGGTGCTGCAGCAGCGCACAGTGCTGGCCAGATTGTAGCCCCCAGATTCAGTCAGCTATGCTTAAAACCATCCTCATCATTTTCATCCTCCTACTGCTTTTCCTGCGAGCAGAGAAACCTGGAGCACAAAGATGTTGTCATTTCCCCAGTGAGCCAGTCTGTGCTCAGCTTGCCACAAACTACAGGATGAGCTCATACTCTATTACTTATTCATAGACAGCGTCACACAGGCTGACGCAACCAGACAGACACACTGGCTGAAAGGAGGTGGACAGGCGTGCTTGCGGGCCAGGCTTGTAACAGACGGGCTGGTGGGCTTTAGAAGAGGCAGCCAGACCAGCAGGATGCAGATGATAATGAAAAAACAGGCATCCTGATGTGTTTCTGTGCAACATCCTGCAGAGCAGCTGCTCATCTTTATCACTGTTTCACATCTTGGCTGCATCTTTTTGGGCTAAATCTGTGTATTTGAACTGCAAACTGTGATCAAAATTGGCAGCTTAGATGCTTGGCACTGACTTATTTGTGCCACTGAGATCTTTTTCAGCTTCTTTCTCGCTGATGAAAACTTGTGTTGCGAAAACCAGCGGGTGCTGTTTACTCTGCCAGTCCATGTTTCACCCCGCCACTGGTTTCTTTTAACATGCTGGGCTCCTTTTGTTTGTGTCAGTGGTTTCAGTTTGTCCGCCTGTTCTTCGACTGATGGCTGCTTTTTAACTGCAGTCGTTCTCTTGCTTTCTGTTTTTGAATCTCAAATGTTCTTTTCCAGATCACAGTGGAAATATGACCCCAAATTACAGGCCTCAGTGAGTCACTTATGGTAGACCTCAATGTGCAGTGATTCCACAAACACAGGCGATATTACACAGATAATCAAACTGAATTGAAAATTAGTTTCATTTCATTCATTCAGCCTGACATTGCGCCAACATTAGCCTCTTGTTTGAAGGGGTTAGTGTGTTTTGTTCTGCTTTCGCCAAACAGACCAGAGTGATGTGTCTCTCCTGCCAATTGTCTTTTTTTAAGTTGACAGCTTGTCCATGGTGACTTCACATTGATCAAAGGAATATGTTGATTAAAGAGTTGCCATTTATGTGTGGACTTTCGACATGTACAGCTGCACTGATCTCATCCACCATTGTTGCCAATTTTTGTAATCGTTTTTTTTCATGATCGATAGTAAGGAAGATTAAACCTACCTGAACCTACTGAATTGTGTCTCCACGGAAAATATGACAAACAGTGCAAACAGTGCCATTCTTAATTTAACAGGGGGATTTTTTAAACCTGAGCTGAGGGCAGTTTTGCACCAAAGCTAGACTAATGCATGATCAGGCTGACCTAGGCATCAATCAATAAATTTTATGTTATGTGTTAATGTCAAAAAAAAAATACTATTGGCCAATATACCCCCCCCCCCCCTCCCCCCAATTTCCAAATATTGATACCAATATCACCTTTAAATAGCCATATGTTCTGTAAAATTTTGACCCTGGAGTATGATTAGATATTCTATAATCTGGATATCACAGAACAATACCAACTAGTCAAAAGACACAAAGGCCATAGCAACTGGATCAAAATGCCATTAAGACTTCAACTGTATTGTCAGTAGGGATTAGTAGTGTCTTGCTCGAGAACACTTAAGGAGGGCAAATGCTACATATGGGATCGAGATTGCTAAAATTACCTGTTTTAGGTTTTTGGGGTATTTATGCTTTATTTGATTGTGAGTGAGAGAGGCAGGAAAGGCAGGGGAGAGAGGGGGATGACATTAACCCAGACCACTGTGGTAAGGGTCTCAGCCTTAATGGTGTATGCTCTACCCAATGAGCTTCTACTCACCCCTACAAACGCTACACAGTAGAGTCATAAAGGCAAAAAATCCAGTGCCATTCAGCATGGCTGTTTGAAAGCCTCTCTGCTGTCTTTTGTATTTGAAGAAAATGATAACAGAACAAACAAGGAGGTCAGCTGTCTCGTATTTCCCTTTGTGACCCTTATTTTCTCCAGTCCAGGCCTTGGTTTGTGTTGACACACAAACAGAAAGGCACAGTGGAGCATAAAGAGTGGTAGCCAGGGCAGCACAGTTGATAGCTATCATGATTTCAGCGTCCGCAGTTTAAAATACCAGGGGAATGGCTTATCTCCACCTTTAACTTGTCCTGTGTTAACTGAGAAGTTTCTGTACTTCAGAACAGTCAAGGTGTTGACTTAAGCTACCATATAGTAATTTGTGTAGTTTGTTTGTATTACAATGCTGACTTAGATTAAGAGGAATTTTTTGATTGATGTAAAGGCTGTAAATGTTCACTGTCTTTCCGCAACTTTGTATCAAATCCTGAGTATTTCTGAGAGTTTTGTAGTCTCTTGGTTGGCAGCAAAGATCAATATGTGGACTTATAACTGGAAAGATGCAGATTTGATCTCTGGTCTGGCAGGTTAAGAATGGTTAAGAGGCAAATGAGCAGCACTTGTCCCTCCCTTAAAACCACTATTGTGGTGCCCTTAAATGACCAGCATCCACCACAGTGGGAAGCAGATAAGACGGTGTTTGTGCAGGGCAGGTTCCAGGTGTGAATGAATGTGGAGCAGACAGAGAGCTGCTGAGAACGAGCATTTGTGTGAGGTGACCGTACTGAATTAAGGGCTTTAAAAAATCTTGATATCAGGACACTGTGAATATCATCCGGAAATTTGAAACTTTAAGTTATCTCCTGTGATTAAAAACGCTGTTTCGATCAAGTATCACTTTGATAATCTCACTCACTGGTTGTGTCCAAATATGCTCGGACGTGTAACCACTGATAACTGGCTGCCAGAGAGCAGTGCATTGATGTGCTTTGTTGTTGGAAAATCAATCGTCTAGAAGACTTACACAAAAGCTCATAAATATTGTAAAGTGATGAATTTCAAATTGGTAATTTCTTACATTAAAATGTGCCTTCATGGTGGGAAAAGGGTGGAAGTTGTTTATTGTCTGTACAAATACATATCTGACAACAAACCAGCTGTATAATCCCTCTGTGTGTGTGTGTGTGTGTGTGTGTGTGTGTGTGTGTTCAGGGACTATAAATGATTGTGTTTTTCCAGTTGAGCAGAGCCATTCTTGCCAGTCTACCTATCCTGAAGACACACACACACACACACAACCTCACAAACAGGGTAGAGATGTCTTGTCCACACCATGTAAAAATATGGTGGCTCATGGAAGCTAATTTTCCATCATGGCAATACTCTATCCTCATATTATTCATAATTTTGGCTCCTTGTATTGTAAGTTAGGCTTTTGAATCTGCAGACAGATTTCCCTTTCAGATGGTGTATGAAAAGTGTGTGTACTATGTATACACAGCAGAAATGAAACACTCTTACCGCTGAGTCACTGAAGGACATGTGTATTTTATTTGTGTGAATAAGAGCAGGCTTATATTCAGGCAGACAGACTGCTGAGTCATGTAATCCTTAACTTTAACCCTACATGTCGGAAAGACAAAAGAGTTTTCCATCCTGCTGTCAGGGCACCTCCATTTTACTTTCTCATTCATTAATTTTCAGTGTGTGCTGGATGCTTTCATTTGTGTTTTTTCTGTGTTATTGTTTTTTCCAATGCAGAGGCATCAATCAGAATTAAAAGTACTTTTCTCTTTCTCTCTCTCGTCTTCCCTTCCCTCTTCCTCTTTTGTCTTCAGGACCAGTTTGATAATCTGGACAAACACACTCAGTGGGGGATCGACTTTCTTGAGCGCTACGCAAAGTTTGTCAAGGAGAGGCTGGACATAGAGCAAAACTACGCCAAGCAGCTAAGGTACACACACACATGCACACTGTCCACATACAGTACAGGCCAAAAGTTTGGACACACCTTCTCATTCAATGCGTTTTCTTTATTTTCATGACTATTTACATTGTAGATTCTCACTGAAGGCATCAAAACTATGAATGAACACATGTGGAGTTATGTACTTAACAAAAAAAGGTGAAATAACTGAAAACATGTTTTATATTCTAGTTTCTTCAAAATAGCCACCCTTTGCTCTGATTACTGCTTTGCACACTCTTGGCATTCTCTCCATGAGCTTCAAGAGGTAGTCACCTGAAATGGTTTCCACTTCACAGGTGTGCCTTATCAGGGTTAATTAGTGGAATTTCTTGCTTTATCAATGGGGTTGGGACCATCAGTTGTGTTGTGCAGAAGTCAGGTTAATACACAGCCGACAGCCCTATTGGACAACTGTTAAAATTCATATTATGACAAGAACCAATCAGCTAACTAAAGAAAAACGAGGGGCCATCATTACTTTAAGAAATGAAGGTCAGTCAGTCCGGAAAATTGCAAAAACTTTAAATGTGTCCCCAAGTGGAGTCGCAAAAACCATCAAGCGCTACAACGAAACTGGCACACATGAGGACCAACCCAGGAAAGGAAGACCAAGAGTCACCTCTGCTTCTGAGGATAAGTTCATCCGAGTCACCAGCCACACAGAGTTCTAGCAGCAGACCCATCTCTAGAACAACTGTTAAGAGGAGACTGCGCGAATCAGGCCTTCATGGTCAAATAGCTGCTAGGAAACCACTGCTAAGGAGAGGCAACAAGCAGAAGAGATTTGTTTGGGCCAAGAAACACAAGGAATGGACATTAGACCAGTGGAAATCTGTGCTTTGGTCTGATGAGTCCAAATTTGAGATCTTTGGTTCCAACCGCCGTGTCTTTGTGAGACGCAGAAAAAATGAACGGATGGATTCCACATGCCTGGTTCCCACTGTGAAGCATGGAGGAGGAGGTGTGATGGTGTGGGGGTGTTTTGCTGGTGACACTGTTGGGGATTTATTCAAAATTGAAGGCACACTGAACCAGCATGGCTACCACAGCATCCTGCAGCGACATGCCATCCCATCCGGTTTGCGTTTAGTTGGACGATCATTTATTTTTCAACAGGACAATGACCCCAAACACACCTCCAGGCTGTGTAAGGGCTATTTGACCAAGAAGGAGAGTGATGGAGTGCTGCGGCAGATGACCTGGCCTCCACAGTCACCGGACCTGAACCCAATCCAGATGGTTTGGGGTGAGCTGGACCGCAGAGTGAAGGCAAAGGGGCCAACAAGTGCTAAACACCTCTGGGAACTCCTTCAAGACTGTTGGAAAACCATTTCAGGTGACTACCTCTTGAAGCTCATGGAGAGAATGCCAAGAGTGTGCAAAGCAGTAATCAGAGCAAAGGGTGGCTATTTTGAAGAAACTAGAATATAAAACATGTTTTCAGTTATTTCACCTTTTTTTGTTAAGTACATAACTCCACATGTGTTCATTCATAGTTTTGATGCCTTCAGTGAGAATTTACAATGTAAATAGTCATGAAAATAAAGAAAACGCATTGAATGAGAAGGTGTGTCCAAACTTTTGGCCTGTACTGTACATATATATATACAACAACAACAAATAAACGTAAGCAGATAAACTAACATACAAAAAGGCTTTAGACATAGAAATAGAATGAGACTAGAACAGACATTGAACTGTTTGCCATGGTCACTTGGCTAGTACAAAAGAAAATGCTGGTTGTTTTTGTAGGGACAACACACATCAGTAGGGCAATAAAGTATGTCACACGGACTAGTTTGACAACTTTATTTTTGGCCTATTGATACACCTGTTTTCCTTATTAAATAGACTCATACTTAAAACATACACAAATCCAAGTTTCCAAGTAATGTTATTTTAATTGCCTTGCACTTTATTCAAATTCAAAATAAAACTCACCAAAACTGTCTTGGTTAGTCTTGTTATACATCTAGTTAGTGCACTATTTAAACAATCACCAACTCTGGATATGCTGATCTGAATGCAGTTTATCACAGCAGTCTCTTCCTCTCAACAGTTCACTGAGCAGCGGCTCTCACTCGATCATCAGATACACCTTAAGTTTCAGTTTACATGGTTCAACAAACATGCAATTAATGGCAACAAAAAAGGACGGACTGCGTGTTTGAGAATGTACTACCCTGCTCATTTGGTTTTTTATTGCAAAACCTCACCTCAGTGTGTTTGTGACTTGCCACAAGTCAATTTTTTTTACGAAAGTTTATACGGAAGGTAACCGGCTACAACGGTTGCAATGGCAACAGTACACATAAAAATGGCTGCCACTGACCATACTGGCAATATGATTTTAATGGGAATGTCATTTCTACCCTCATTCTATTTCTATGGTGTTATAGCTATGGGAGACACACATGCACTTTATTTTTTTCTCATTGTCCCCTATAGAGACAGGAAGAGTTTTTGATTTAAGGATGTCAAGATCAAGCTTTTTTGCCCAAAATCATTTTATAATGACTATCTCCCAATACTATGTCCTGATCTGATATTCATATTTTCATGTATAACACATCTGCGCAATAGACATTTACATTTTAGTTTGTAAAACAAATCCCATCACAGAATAGCTCTGCCTTAAAACAAGCTTCCCTACTCACACTTTCTTTAATTGAATCTCGATTTTTTAATATAGAGACTTAGAAAGACTTGTGCTGGGATCATGCCTCCCAGTATTTTTGCCTCTTGGTCACTGTGTCAGATTTGGCGATAATACAGTCAGGAAGTCTTGGTATGGCAGACTACATGTTGGACCCTGACAAGCTTGTCTTTCTGTTGGGACATTGTGAAGCATCGCAAATACAGCCTTGGTTGCCTTCCATGACACAATGAGGCACTCATTTTGAGTTCATTGTGTTAGTCTGACTAAAACTGGACTTTAAAAATACATGTTAACATGTTAGTCTGACAGAAATTCCAATATTTTTTTTTAATTTCTCAAAGTCGGACACGAAGATAATGCGACTGGGAGTCAAATTACTTCTGCGTTTATACAGTCAGTCGGACCCAAACTGGCCTAAGCGCTTCACACATGCTCCACAGTTTCCACCTCTGGCTTTGCCCCGTAAATCAAACAGCATTAAATGCATAACAGAAGAAGAAGCCAGTGACAACATGGCAAAATCTACATCCAGAGCCACGTATTTTTGTACAGATGTGGAGACACGGTTCATGCTGATACCAGTTTGCCGCTAGCTTACCGTAGCTAACTTGTTGGCTGATTGTTTGGTCTGTGATGTAATAGGTCAACTGGAATAAGGTCCAATACTAACTAAGCTAAGAGGGGTGCATATTGCCACCTATCATAGGCCACTTTTTGTAGCAGAGTTGGACATATTTCAGTTAATAAATTCCCCTGCTGTGCTTGTATACTGGGACAAGGACAATGGTCCAATTAAATGGCCAAGTGGAGCTATAATTGTAGCTTGACTTAAATGTGCATGTAAACGTAATGTTGGGGAAGTTCGGACTTGATTCAGGAAGCCTTTTTCATCTCCAGCGTGCACTTAATACTCACGTTCAAATGCTCATTTAACAGTATCAGCACTTAGTAATGCAAAGCTTTGAGAATGTTGAAGTAAAGGAAACGTGGTGAATCACCAGTGGTGATATATTTTATTCATTTGTTTTTAATCCATTGTTGTAATGTTAGCTGGGTGAACTCAACAAGCCCAAGCACAATAATCCTCATTAAAAACCAGCAGAGTCCCAGTGGTTGATTTCAAAGAAGGGAAATCCCTTCAGAATACATAACACACACACACACACACACACAGTGCGCTGCTGCAGCTCTGAAAAATGATCAAAGATGGAGCTCTGTGTACGTGTGTGTTTACGTCTGCACGTTTTTATAATACATGTAGTTCAGACAATACATCACAAGAAAGACTCCTTTTCTGTCGTTAAAAACACTGTCTCTTTTTCTCTCTCATTCACACACACACTCACTCACTCACTCACTCATTCACTCACACACACACACACACACACACACACACACACACACACACACACATTCCTCCGCTCTCCAGTTAAATCATTAACCCGCTGCTGTACTGTATGGGAGTGTGTGTTGTCAGAGCCTGAGGGAACGGGCAGGCAGAGGCTTTGATGTTTAAATCTTTGATTCGTCTTTAATAAAATACTGAGATCCTGAATGTGTATGTGTGTGTGTGCCTGTCTGACTGCATGCATCTTGTTAGTATACCTGCCTCTCTACCAGGCTTAAAATATCAGACCATATTTTTAACCTCTGTGTCTGCCTCTCTCTCCTATCAGGAACTTGGTAAAGAAATACTGTCCAAAACGATCCAAAGACGAGGAGCCGAGGTGAGTAAACTTAGAAATTTGTTCTATTTTGCCTCAGTCTTTTTGGATGTGTGCACACTGCTAGAGTGAAAAAGGCCTACTAGATGGTTTATTTTATCACCCGGTGCTGGTCCTGCTGTTTGACTGGTTATTTGCAGGATGCAGACTGATACTGAGTTTGATGTGGCTTCATTTATTTTGTCTGTCTACAACCCTTTTTGTTTTACATAGTTGTGCATGTAGGCAAATGTATAAAATTTGGAAGTAAAATATTTCTCACCCTCAAATGACTACCATGGAAGCAGAGAAGTATACGTCCTATTTAAAGTTAACTGCAAAAAACTTCAGTCATGAACAATATACAAAAATCAATTCTTGGAATTTGAGAATTGTTTCAGAATGATAGAAGATAAGAGCTGTAAATACAGAAAGGGAAACATTTTGTTGCAGGTTTAAAGTTTAGTGCAAAATAGTACAAAGAAGTACAAAAAAAGTGGTTTTAGTAAAGGAACATGTTGAATTGAAGATTTGCATGAAATGCAGTCAGTGCAAAAGCTAAAATGATGCAGGAGATCCATCAGTAAAGTAAACTATGACATCATACACTACACATGATATCAGTGTATCATTTAGACTCCTGCTTGTCTACAACTCTGAACTAACGCTGCACCTATGTAGGAACAGAGCAGAAAGGAAGCATATTGTTTACCCTGTTGATCACATGCATAATGTGTGTCTCTTGTGCAGGTTCACATCATGTCTGTCCTTCTACTCTGTACTCAACGAACTCAACGACTATGCTGGTCAGAGGGAGGTGGTGGCGGAGGAGATGGCTCACAAGGTGTACGGAGAGCTGATGAGGTACAGCCAAGACCTCAAAGCTGAAAGGAAACACGTGAGTACACTCACAAGTTTGTATTTTACTCTTCTCTGCTTATCTTTGAATAGAAGTGACACATGAGGCTTATTTCCAGTGGTGTTCAGTGCAGCTATTGATAATTAAGACCAGGTTTCTCCGAAAACTTGTTGCTTCCTGTCATGAAACGGATGTTGCTGTTTGCCCTTTGTATCCTGTGTGTCGCCTCAAATGCATTTATTTTCTGTTTGGCTTCACTCAAGAGGATAAATATGTTGGATGTGATGTTAACCATCTGTCTTTTAGTTCTTCCACCATCTGCTGATGCCATAAGGTCTGAGAATTTGAGATCAATGTGCTTTGGAAGAACAGCGCCCTCTTCTTGTTTTGTGCTGTAAAGCATCAAATATTCCAGTTCATTTTACTCAGTGACATATTGTGAGACACAAGGTATATGCTGTGGCTGTTACATGACATATTGCTTTTTCACTCGCTTGGTAATCAGTTTCCAGTTTTTGTTAACTATCTCTGCTCTCAGGTTCAGGCTTTGAGTTTCATTTTAAAGTAGGTAAAAGGTCTTATGTAGTTATGTGAATATATCCATGTTTCATGTCAGCTGGACATCAAACTACGAAAATATATAAGTTAAGAGATTTTAGGTAAAACCTGTGATGGAAAACTTTATATGTATAAATAAAATAAAATTTATGTAATTTTTTAAAGCATAAAATTTAATTCTTGACTTTGGAAACAGGTCTACTCACCAGCTCTTCCTGGAGCTTTTAATCATATCACATTGTCTTTGTGAGCACATGGGGGTACATCTGTTGACATGCCTGCACAATCGCTGTTGTGATTTCACCCACAGCACTTGTAAGACGTCTCCTCAGTGTTGGCTCACAAGTTAAGCATCAGAATTCATTTTTGACTTTAGTGAATTGTTGGTTCTATAAAATGGTCCCCATTCAAGGTCCACTTCGAGCCTTTCCGAGAATTTGACCACATCATGTGGTCGTCGTCAGTGCATATCAACAGTTCCATCTCCATGGCAACTCGGCAAAATCTGCTGCATGCAGGGCAAAGCTTTGGGAAAAGGTAGTAAGTAGGCAGTGAGCTGGGATTTTTTTTATCAAATATTTTTTTAAATCAAACAGATTTTATTAACGTGTTGTCTCCTAACAATATGCTTTTCTAACCACAGATGCAGAACTTTCATAATGATGTAATGGGTAACTAGTTTTCAGTGCAGTTAAGTCTGAATTTGTTATTTTACTGCCTCAGTCACTTGACTCTTATAAATCTGTGTCTGTGATCTCAGCACTTTTCCTTCCAGTGGATTGTTAGTGTGTCTGTAACTGTGACACAATTGTTCCAGTCATTTTGTGTATGTGCATATGAATGTGTTTTTTATGCACTATTTATGTGTATTTTCCTGTGTCTCTGTGTGAATGTCTGTTGTTTGTGTGTCTGTGTATGTTTCTGTGTGTGTGTGTGTGTGTGTGTGTGTGTACATGAGCAGCACCTACAGGAGGGCAGGAAGGCCCAGCAGTATTTGGATCATTGCTGGAAACAGATGGACAACGTAAGTGAGGAGGGAGGGAGAAGGAGGAGGGGTGGAGAGAAAAAAATTAAGTGTTTAGTGTAAATATTCTCTGTTAGGGACGGCCAGCTGTACTCGTCTCATACTTGTTTGCATGAGGAATGCAAGAAATGCAAACAGAGGTTACTGTCGGACAAATGGGTATCCACTCTCCTCGCCTAATTTCACACATGCCATTATTTAGTGAAGAGACAAACATGGCATTTGCAGTACTTGTGTGTTTTCATATCAACATTAGTGTTCAATGCTCCTCTGTGCTGTTCTGTCCAAATTAACAGAAAGTATAATATGAGAGTGTTTGTTACAGACTATGAAAAGACAGCAGTGTCCTTTTCTTCATCCTGGCAAAGTTCCCAGTCCTTGGGGACTAAGGACAGGGGCCAGGACCAGGAAACACACACACACACACACACACACACACACACACACACACACACACACACACACACAGGCCTCAGTGTAGACCAGCCCCTCCCATATCAATACAAAGCAAAGGCCCATGCACCACATTTGGCCCCCGACAACCTTCTTGTTGGCTCCCAAAAGGCTCCAGAGAGAGAGAGAGAGATTCCATTTGTTCACTTCTGAGGTCATTTAATTGCATTTGCTGGAGTTATTTTATAACAATCCGCTCATTACAAGACTTATAATTAACCACCACAATTCCATAAGGGCAAAAATGCTAATTGCCGCTTGTTAAATTTATAAATAATGCATGCCCAGTCACAAATTTTTGGCCCACAGCCCATTAGTAGAGTTGCTTTATTCTGGCACATGTGATGGAGAGTGTTTCAGTGTGTGGTCTGCATGACTTTAATAGTGACTACTTGGTGACTGGACTGTAATGTCTCAGCTATTCACTGTGTTTCCTTCACTACTAATGTGACCCAGATGGGCTGGCAGGAAGTAAACTATCTCCCTCTGCCTGATTCATCTCCCTCTCTCCCTCTTTGCCTTTTTTTAAACTCCCATTCACATTTTTTTTAGGTTTATTCACTGAGTACTTTTTGAAAATGACAGGAAATAGAGATGGTGCATTATAATTAAGAGGATGTACAGTGTGTTCTTTATGTTTCTTGATATATTTAACATTGTTCCTTCCTTGTGTTTTTTTCTCCTTAGAGTAAAAAGAAGTTTGAGAGAGAGTGTAGAGAAGCAGAGAAATCCCAGATTACCTATGATCGGTTAGATAATGACATCAACGCCACCAAATCAGAGGTGGAGAAGGTAGGAAGCACGCACCTGCAACACAACTACAGTAAAAAATTTGTTCCCCTTTGAGCCAACTTCTCCTTTCTTTTATTATCATTGAAAATACCAGCATGTTTACCTTCAGTCTTTAGTGGGCACCTAACCAAAGACAGTGAATTACTGGATGAGCCATAGCAAAATGTTTACCATGGTAGGGCATGAACATACAGTTTTTTTTTTTTCATCTTTTGGCATAATATCCACATTTCAAGTCCAACAATTCAATAATAGAATAAGTTGTGTTTTTCTTAAAGTTAGTAGTGTATAATTGATGCCTATGAAATTATACTGTAGCTCCCTTTTTCCCTCCACCCTTACTGTATAATTAGACTAGGTGGATTAAGTTAAAGCTTGAAGTAAAATAAACCTTTCCAAACAGAGGTTAAAGCACAGCCCACTAAGCCTTGTTTTTAGACGAGGTACTGTCTAAAAACAGCCTGAATGGAATAAGTATAGAAATAAGATGAGATGTGTTAGAAATGCTCATATTAAAGTAGTTTTAAGTTTATAAATATATTACTTTGTTAGTAGTGATCAAGGCAGTAGAAATGTTTATGCTTAGTTTCTGCTGTTGGACCATCTATTAAAACACAACTTTCCTTCCTTAAAAGGGACAGTTCACCCCAAAATAAGAAATACATATTTTTCCTCTTACCTGTAGTGCTATTCATCAGTCAGATTGTTTTGGTGTGAGTTTCCGAGTGTTGGGAAATATTGGCCGTAGAGATGTGTGCCGTCTCTCCAATATAATGGAACTAGATGGCACTCAGCTTGAGGTGCTCAAAGTGCCAAAAAATAATAATAATTTGATAAATTCAACATCAGTGTCTTTCCAGAAATGATGACCCAGTTACACAAAATAATCCATAGACCTTGTTGCAATCAGTTTCATTCTACCAAACTGCAAATTCCTACTGTAATACAACACAGAAGGAAGAGTGCATCTACTCACGGATGAAAGGTTCGTGCTCACGACAGCATTAGGTGTAAGCATTAATGGCGTCCTCCTTGGCAGAGCTGTAATATTATCTAGCTCAGTGGTGCCAGGTGAGCTAGCAGTAGATGCACGCTTCCTTCTGCATGTTGACGCAGTTGGCAGGGGAAGGTCACTAAAAAGAAGATGGTTCCTACACGAAACTGCTTACAACGAAGTCTGTGGATCATCTTGAGTAACCAGGTCATGATTTCTGGAACGAGACATTGCTGTTGAGTTTTCCAAATGTAATTTCTGTTGGCACTTTGAGCACCACAAGTCGAGTACAATCTAGCTCCTAGACTGATAAATAGCACTAGAGGTAAGAGGGAAAAATGCATGTTGGATTTAGGTGACCTGTCCCTTTAAGGAGAGAAATGCAAAATAATATAATATACACTGGGTTTCAGCAGCGGTTCCATTTGTTAGGGTTCAGAATGGGTGCTATTATGTGTGCAGTTTCCTCGTGTGGTCGTGTTGGACAGAGAAGAGGTTGTTGAGGCTTTACCTAATTTGGTTTTAATGTTAGTGTTTCTGTAATTGCTCAGGCCAAAGCCCAGTTCTACCTGCGCACTCACATGGCTGATGAGAGTAAGAACGAGTACGCTGCTCAGCTGCAGAACTTCAACGCCGAACAGTGGAAACATTTCAACAACGCCATACCACACATCTTCAAGGTAAAGCAAACATCTGCTGTCGCTTCGCATCCGTGTTTGACTTGGCTTGAATCAGTCCTAACCAAAATTTCATCTTTTTGCCTGACTACAAATTGAATTACAATATCATTCAGTGAAAATTTACTCACCTTTCACCTTCTGTTTCACCTATTTCTAATGTTTGGTTTCAGCATGTCACTATCTCCCCTGCATGAGTGCCCCATTAAATGTTTACCTCAGCAGCTTGTCTCATGTAAACTTATACACTGACTGGCTATCAGTGCAGGATCTGGTGTCTCTGACAGGTTGTTTACTGCTAACAGTCTAGTTGAAGTGTCAGTGTCAGTACTTTGTTATTGGCGTTACAGAATCTGCAGGACATGGACGAACGCCGGACGGTGAAGCTCGGAGAGACGTACCGGAGCTTTGCCGAGGCCGAGCGGAGAGTCATTCCCATCATCACGAAATGTCTAGACGGAATGGTTTCTGCTGCTAAAGCTGTTGATAATAAAAGGGTATGTAGCTGAGTGGAGTATAGGTGTAGGAAAGGAGAGAGAAAACAGAAAGAGAACTGAAATGGAAGAAATAAGATGTTTCTGTAGGGGAGCGATGGAGAGAGCATACAGAAGAACTTTTTGCCACAACTCATCTGTTTCTATCCTCCCATCTTCCCAGGATTCATCCATTGTCATCGAGTCGTTTAAATCGGGCTTCGAGCCTCCGGGCGACTTCCCCTTTGAGGACTTCAGTCAGAATCTCAGCAGAACAGGTTCAGATGGCACCATTAGCAACACACCCAAAGGAGACAGAGACAGAGACGGGGCCCCGGGGCCACGACAAGACCCAAAACACCCTATGAGTAGAACCAAGAACAAGCTGTGGCTGTTTGGGAAGAAACCAAAGGTACGAAGAGTGAAGGGTGGTGTCATGTCTTTGTTGTCGCTGCGTTCTTATCTAATGAAGCAGAAGTATTGACTACACATAACAAGATATAAGAAGAAGGTAGCCTCTGCTGAAAAGCTATTATTAAACATTCATAGGATGCCTGTAGCTAATCTTTGATATCTGTGTGTCAGTATACATCATGTGTTCCTTTAAGTATAGACAGTAATGCATTATGACTGGAAGGAAATGCTTTTGAGGGCTCTTCATAATACACTCCATTGTAGTCATCGACAGCGCCTTCACAATTTGATTATTTGTTTAGTTTTTATAAACAACAAAGACTTTTCTTTAATGTTGCTTGTTGTCAAGTCACTCTTCAGTAATGTAATTTGGGAAAGTACCCGAGTTGTCCTCCTCGCAGACTCATTATGGTTAATGGTACAGTTATGATCCCCCACCCTGCAGCTGAACATCAGCTTTATTAGTCACATCCTGAACACTCATGTTTTATTACTTTCTCTGCTCCTCAGTTGCTCTCTCAGCTAGTCTGGGGTTGTAGGTTTTTTGTCACCTTTCCAGCATTTGTAACAACACTCTTCAACCTTTTCTCTGATACACTCCTTGGACCTTGCCCCTCTCCATAAAGACTGTGTTGGTGAATCAGTAACTGCCTGTTGTTGGTTTATGTTAGCGTCATCAGCTGTTTCACAGTATCAGGAACCTGTGTGATGGATAGGGTGTGTGTTTGTGTACATGGGTCAGTTTAATTGTTTAACACATGGTGCACTAAATTTTCATAGGTGTGTCTAATACAAGTCAGAATTTTAAAGACCCTGAAAACTTGAAATAAGTAAACCTGTTGTAACTTTGGCTCATTCTTCGCTCACACTAAGACGATGGTTAAGACAATAAGTTTTCAGGGCCTCTAATAAAATCTCTGTGGCTGACTTCCTTTGTTCATAAACTTGAATGAGTCAGTTTGAAGTCATCAAAGCAAAAGTCATACACGAGTCATGTTTATAACTCTTTCATGATTTGGTGGGATTCCTGTGAATAATATCCATGTAAACTTGAATCACCCCAAAATCAAATATCCATACTTTTCCTCTTACCTGTAGTGCTATTTATCTTTCTAGATTGTTTCTGTGTGGGTTGCTGTGTGGTGGTGATATATATCAGCAGTATATCAGCAATAGAAGTAGATGGCACTGGACTTGGCGTGTGCTTAAAATGCACCACACCTAAAATCTCTATCACTCAGCAACTCACACCAAAACAATCCAGACTGATAAACAGCACTATAGGCAAGAGGAAAAATAGGAGTTTATTTAGGGGTGAACTGTCCCTTTACGAATAAATAATATGTCTCCCTGACCTCTGGCTTTGTCCTGTCCTCCTGCTCCCCTCCAGTCCCCTTCCTCCTCTCCTCCTCCACCACCCTCCTTCTCCTCCTCCTCCTCCTCCTCCTCCTCCCGTCCCCATTCCACCTCCAACATTTTTCCTCAAACCCGCTTCAACACTGACTTAGTGAGCCACTATCTGTCCGAGATAAAGACTACAGTACCCAGAATCCCCCAGAATTTGAGGGGCCTGAGGAGAGGGGTGAGACAGGAAGTTGCGTTGTAGTGTTTGATTGACCGGTTGACTTGATTTTGGTTTTTAAATTTCTTCCACAGGGTGTCTGCAGTTTCTAATTTTAACGAGGCCCTCAATTACTTTAAATTTAGTCATTGAAATCTTAACAGACATTTTAGATGTCATAAAGGTGTTGTGTTTTTTTTTATAGAGAGGTTTTTTTGCTCTCATGGGTCTGATTTGATTAGATGTTATTTTATTTTATAAACTTTTAACATGACTCTTGCAGACACCCTGTTGTGTTGTTTCTGTCACTCATTTATCTTTCTTCTTTCTCTTTCTTCCCTTCCTTATTCCCTCTTTGTCTTTTGTTTTTGTGTGATCCTTTCTCTCCTTTTTTTATGAGACAGATTTTTGCTCCAATCACAAGATGGAGGATCCTTGGTGATAGATGGTGTGTGTGTGTGTGTCTGAGAGGGATTTGAGGGTTTTTGGTGTTCTGGTTGCAGTGTTGCGTGGGGGAAAACTAGTTTCCAACATCAAGTATGTTGCTCTGATGTTGGCCTGAGTTTGCAGTGGTGTGTGTGTGTGTGTGTGTCTGTTGAAGTACTAACAATGTCAGTATGCTCTGAAACAGAACTTTCTGCTTTCAGACAGTTTAAGTTTAAATAACACCCAGCCTCGGACGAAGCCAGCACTTTGATTGGCGTCTTCTCCTGTCAGCTCGGTCAGGACCGTCTATGATTGGCTGATCCGACCGTTGGCTTGACTACTGACATGATATCCACTGCTTGTGGGAAATTATCTAATTTAGAGAGATGTATACCAGACAGGGAAAGCTGGGATTTTATCATGTTTTTAGAAAGTCAGTTTAAAATGTTATGTTTACATTCAGTGATTCTCACCAAAGCACATCACGTGTATCCCTAAGGCCAAATAACACGCTGAAATATTGAATTCATTAAACATTTACAAAGCAGATTGTTTTTGCATAATTTGAAACTATTTTGAATAATTTTACTAAATTTTCAAGCAAAAAAAAGGTCACAGATGCTCTGGTTCCAGCTTCTCAAATGTCAAGATCTGCTGCTTTTCTTTGTCATATATGAGCGTGTTTATATGGACATGAATAACCTGTTTATTAGCCTTATACTGGTGATGATTATTATGATGATATGGTGTTTAGATATGCACAGAGAAATACAGTCACTCATATTCCCGTATACATGGAAAATACTAGTAACCTGGTCACTGATTGAGAATGAGAGCAACAGGAAATATTAAACATTACACAGTAAATTTAGTTTTACTACCACTTGGCAGCTTAACTGCTGATTTCTTCTCTGCTGCGATCGCCAACAGCTGTCGGCTCTGAGCACATTCACTGACTCTCTCTGTCTCTCTCTCAACCACACACACAAACACAGTCACACACACACAAACACACATTACGTAGTTATAGCAGTTACTCGCCTAACGCTGTTCCTTAAAGCAGTTATGCTGCCTGTCCTCACTTTGACCGACACCAGCCGTCAGTGTCCCTACTACCGCATAGGACAGGGGAGCAGTGGAGAAAAAAAACGCAGCCTCTTTCATTAGCGAAAGACAAAACTCTGTTTCTTCACCGCTTCCGAAAGTGAAGCTGTGGCTGCTGCCATATTTTATTTTACGGTTAAATCACTTGGCTGAAGCTGTGGCTGTGCAGTTAGTGAGCGACACTCGATAACCAGGATAAGGTGTAAACATGCAACAATATCCAGATTGCTTTTGGTTTACTCCAGGTAGCATATTTAGTTTTCTCATAAACAGTCCCGGTTTCTGAAAACAGGATCTGGTGTATACATGCTCAAATACATAATAGGTTATTCATGTCCCTGTAAACATACTCTGTGATGGTAAACTGTGTATCATTGGGTTTGTGCGAACATAATAAGTAATTTCAAGTACATTTCAATGGGCTGTGGAAAATTATGACAGTAATTTGAGTAATGTGGCTCAGGTAGCACTGGCACATTCATAATACAAACAAAAACAGGACCCAGTCATTTAAACATGGCTCTAGGGATGTTTTTTCTCATTATTTAACCACTAAAAGCCACTTAGTTATTGAAAGGTTAGTGGTTTTATGCCAAAGAGATCTTAGTAATTAAATGAATGCTTCCTCTCCTCACAAGAAAACATCCTCAGTCGCTGATGAAAGCAGGAGATAAAATCAGAAGTGAATCACTGCAAACAGCAGGCTAGAATAACTATCAAATAATTACTGTGATTTAATCTGTTAATTAATAAACATGAACTATGTTAGAATATTCACCCTAGCCTCCTGGTGTGCAGTGATTCACTTCTGATTGTGTCTCTGAGTTTTACCCTCTGGGAACACATATTGATCTGACTGGTTTTCATGCTCACCAGCTGACATGTTCGTGGCTATATTGACATACTGACAACTAACCAGCATCCCATGTTGTTTGTCTCTTTTTACTGTAACGGTTAATGCGTCAGTGGTCAGTCAAGATGGTAAGTGTGTGCGAGAGTGTGATTATAGAGTAGTCACAAGAAGACTCAGCAGTGTAGGTGCTCCTGCATGTATCCTCACCATGTAGGACTTCCCATAGTGTCCAATATATAAACCCAGTAGTGATAGCAAAGTCTCCTCTCCTAGTTAAAATAGATTTCTTGCCTTATATCCACATAAATATTAAAAGAGTTCCCCAGTTTTAGCCTTTTTTTAACACAGCTGCTGCACAGTGAAGCTGGTCAGTATGGACACACTCCCAGAAGGGAGCTTAGGTTACATCATAAGCAAAATTATGTCATTAGGAAAGCATCAAGGAGGTAAAACTCAAAGCTTTTTAATACTTAGAATTAGGTTTGAATACCAACCTAGCAAACAAGTATCTGAACATCCAAGCATTTATTAGTATTTAGCACCAGGTATTGATTTTAAATTGGATTTTTCGTACATGCCTGTCTGTTTTATGAGGTCACAGATTCAGCCTCAACATGTCTTGGGATGTTTGGTGCATCAGTCAGTTTTAATGCCTGACACCTTGAGAATTGAATATTTTCAAGTCTTGTTCTGTGGAAAAAGTTTAGTGGAGGCAGCTGGGCTCAGCAGAAGTGCTGGAAATAAGTCAGTGGTATAATTACTATTTCAACAGATCTCTCTACACCTCAGAGAACCCTATAGATTAGTCTTTATTCCATCTGTTGTATTTTCCCAAGATCATTCCTCCACATGACTGACTTCACTCTAGAGTTGGCTTGTAGTTTGAGATATGTGTTTGTTTGTTTTTTACCACCAGGCCCCCTCTCTGGAGGATTTCAGCCACTTACCCCCTGAACAGAGGAGGAAGAGGCTGCAGCAGAGGATCGACGAACTCAGCAAAGAGCTGCAGAAAGAGATGGATCAGAGGTATAAATCAAGAAATAATTGTTGTGGATATGCTCATGTTTTGCCTTCCTTTCATGACCTTTTAACTGCTTATTGCCATTAGTCCATCCCATCAACTCCTGTGAATGTTTTGTGTCTTGCAGAGATGCCCTGAACAAGATGAAGGATGTGTATGAGAAGAATCCACAGATGGGAGACCCCAGCAGCCTGCAGCCTAAAATATCAGAGACCATATGTAACATGGAGAAACTGCGCTCAGAAATCCACAAAAACGAGGTATGAAAGGGAGATTTGGATTTAAAGAAAACTGTTAACCCCAAGAGAAGAGAAGATGGATAATAGGTTAAAAAAAGTTTCATTTAAAGAGGCAACAGATAGCATTTTTTCCTAAATATATCATCATGAAAATAATGTAGGTTGCACAGGGTAGTGGCCACAGTAAAATCAGACTATCAGCATTTACATAGGTTACTTTGTGGCTTTGCAATCTTTGCAATAAGCTTCTGCCACTGGGGGCGAAATTTCGTGGAAAACAATCTGCTTTACGGCAGGAAACGCGTCATGTATTGCGAAACTGGTCGGTCAACCAATCGGACTGGAGCTGGTCCTTATGAGGAGTTGGGCATGAGATAGTTGAGTCACGAGCACAATGGCAGACGGACAAAGTTTGGAAACAAGTCAAAAATGGCCTAGCAAAAGAAAAGGAGCTCCTCTGTCTGAGGAGGCAAAGAAGAGCAAAAAGGAGTGTGATAAAAGAAGAGGACAAACAAGCGTAAACCTCAGTCGGGCGTTCAAGAGATGGAGGGAGCTCCATGACCAAAGAGGCTTCAAAACCGATGTCCAGCTGGCTTTCTTTCTAATGGATCAGTAAGTAACACGGCTAAACGTTAGCTAGACGAGAGAGGACTGTACTGTACTGTAGTGGCTGCTAGTTAAATCCTAGCTGGCCAGCATTGCAAATCGCCGCAACCAGGGACCGGGTAGCGAGTGTTGGTCGGCTGACATCCTCGTTGCCATTCTACAGCAGCCCTCGGACAGTGATATTTTTCAACAGTCACCGGCTCACTATATATAATCCCTTACGTGTCTACTGTTGTTTGTACTGATACTGTACATATTGGTATGATTTACTGTGAGTTGTTTGTATTGATACTGTACATATTGGTATAACTTACTGTGAGTTGTTTGTACTGATACTGTGCATTCTGGTATAATTATTTGCATTACAATTTGTTTTTTCTTCGGATAAATCTGATAATTGTTGCTCGGTCTCTTTACTCATTTATTTATTATAGTGTCCACACACCTTCTCATTCTACATATACATAGAGGTATACTGGCTTTACAGCCTACATTTTATTGATTATCTCTGATCCCCACGATCAATTTGGTCTTTGCGACAGTGCGAGCAACACCGCTGACGCTAGGTGGCGCCAAACTAAAAAAAAAACCAAATCCTATCTGTTGCCTCTTTAAGCATTTTCATTAGTCTTAGATAGTGGGTGATAGTGCCATCTCCTGGTCAAGTACATAAAGAGATACACTGTGTGGATGATGGTGGTGTCAGCCAGACTATACTCCCTGTGATATTAACAGAAATGTTCTCTTTCTCTCTGTTGACAGACTTGGTTAGCTGAGGTGGAGGGAAAGCAGAGCTCCAGAGGAGACAGAAGACACAGCGCTGATAACCACCATCACACTCCTCAAGGCAGAGAAAGGTAAAGTCCTACACAAAAACACAAACATATAAATACATATGGACAGAGAGAGAGAAAGATGGTCAGGCCAAATATTTAAACATTAGGTATTTATGACTGACATGTAAAGAATCAATGTACTGTTTCTCTTTTTCACATTATAAGTGAATCAATGTAGTAAGGAGTCTTTACTGTGAATCACTCGTATGCTTTACTTTTGGACTCCTTTTGGAACAGTTTCTTTGGAAAATAAAGCATTATCAAAAATTCCACCTTTTTAAAACTTGGAATTTTCCTGTTTTGTATGTGATTTAAGAAATTGATTTAGACATCAGGCCTCCTAACACTGGTTCAGCCTATAATATTCCTGCTAACATTCATTTTTCTTCATGGTAATAAACACTTCATTTCTGGTCTCTGCTATCGTGTATAAGCAAGGAGCAGTGATATATTTTAATCATGCAAACACAAGCTCAGTCCCACTGTTTGTTTCCCATCAGTCCTGAGGGCAGTTACACAGATGACACCAGTCAGGAGCATCACACGCCTCACAAGCACTCCAGTCCTCCACAGCCCGGACAACCCAACCCTGACCCGCACGAGTTTGATGATGAATTTGATGATGACGACCCGCTGCCTGTCATCGGACACTGCAAAGCGCTCTACTCCTTCGATGGTACGTACAAACAGCATTAAGTGTTTGAAATATCTTCAGTTAACCATTAACAGGAGGCTAACATGGCAGTAAAATCAATGTTATTGTTAGCATGTTGCTACTTACTGTGGCTATTATCCTCCAAATGTTGGCAGCTGTGAAACTGAAGATGTGTCTGACATTAAGGCAGTGATGGTTACCTGTACAGACACTGCAGGTTAGTTATCTAACAAGTTAACATGATAGAAACACAGTTGATTATCTTAGCCGCTTCCAGAGTCTGTTCCCTTAATGCCATAGTTTAAATATACCAAACATTGTGGCCAGTGACCAGCACTTTGGATTATCCTGTATGCAAATACTTGTATATTTTTCATTGTAAACAAGGTATAATGTTTATGTGTACCAACATAAAAACTAAATTCACAAAAAGTAGTCAAAGGCCAAAACTTTCGCTGATGTGTGTTTGATGTCACTGTGGTTTGTTTGACTCTCAGGTCAGAATGAGGGGACACTGGTGATGGCAGAAGATGAGGTAATGCCTGTTTTTTTAATTTTGTTCGATTCTGAACTGTTCCTACTAACAAGTGTTATCTGTTTATCCAAAGCCTGATTAATCTTATTCATCTGTCTGTTATAAAAACACACACTCAAGTTTATTTCAACTCAATTCCACATACACCTTGTGGCTGCTGTAAATACTCACTGAAATACCAAATGTGGATTCATCTGCTGGTGAAAATAGTCCCCCAACAAAAGCACTCTTTCCTCCTGTTTGAATAATATTTGCTAACAACTACAGTGCCCAGCTGTTTTGGAAAATCATGTTGACAACAATGGATATATAGAAAAGTTCCAGACTTATAGTTTGCTTTTTAAACCCTCATTGTGTAAGGTTTTAAAACATCTGATTTGGCGACTCCTAGTGGTAATATAAGAAATTACACTATTGTAATATTTGCCTACAGAAAAAAGTTTCCCCTCAAAAAATCTTAACTGGACACTGAGACATTAGCAACACGTAGTCTACATGACTTTGCAGTGGGGTTGGCTCATTTGATTACGAACAAAAGTGGTTATCATCGAGATAATTAGACAGTATTCTCATTAAAATTAAAAACTACACTAAAGGGCTTTTAAAATATATACATTTGGCTTTGCTGTGTTAATGGAGGCCTCTGTTCTGAGTAATAGCCTTTATTTTTAGTGATGAGAATAAACATATTTTGGTGTACTTTTATTCAGAAAGTCATTTAAAAACTTTTCCGCTGCAGGTGTTGTACATCATCGAGGAGGATAAAGGCGACGGCTGGACGCGGGCGAGGAAGCAGAGTGGAGAGGAGGGCTATGTCCCCACCTCCTATGTAGAAATCACCATGGAGAAAAACAGCAAAGGTGCTGTCACCTACATCTGAAGCTAACTCTGTGGTCTGTCCTCTCATCCTGTCTGTCGTCCTCTCCATCCTCCCTGCTTTCTGTTCCTCATCATAACACTACAAAAGGAAAAAAAAGACAGCATGGACATTCATCTGCTCTCTCTCTGTCCTCCTGTTTATCCCTCTAACCCTGTAATCATTTGTCCTCCTCTCATATCTGTGGGACTGGTGTTTCAGAGGTGAGTGTTTGAGCACAGAGACAAATAGGACAAACCTATTTGAAGGTGTTTGTATATTGTATATGAAGCGTTTCTCTGTATGTGTGAATGTCTCCACTGCTGTTTTGAGCCTCGTGTAAAGGCTACACCACTTCTTATTGATCAAAGTGTTGAAGTTTTATGTAATATATTAGAGACAATTTATTTTTTAATTATTTTGATATTTCTTTTTTAAAACTGGAGGCATTTAAAGTTGATTTTAAGTTCTTTGGATTCATGTTTCATCTGTTTTTATTTCTGTCTGATTGTTATTTGTGTGTGTGTGTGTGTGTGTGTGTGTGTGTGTCTGTGTGTGTACATGCACATTTGTTTTTTTTCTGTGTTACCTGTGCCATCACACTAAATGTTGAATTACACTTGCAGAGGTTTGTCTGGTTTCAGCCTTGGTGGTGTGTTATCACACAGTTACAGGAGTTTGGCTGATTCAGTCTTCTTATTGTTGTGTGTCCTTTCAAAGCAAGGCTAGAAGTTTTAAAGCATAAGGCTGGTGTTACTCTACGTTTTTATTTATCGTCAACAAATCCCATGAAAAAAAACATCTAAATTCAATTTGAGAGAGGCATAAATTATGAAGTCAAATGCTGTGTTTTTTTCCACTGCGGAGAAAGTCATCTGTACATAACTTGTACGACAGGTCTGGACCACATGTGAACCTAAGAGAAATTTAAAGTAGTCATAATAAAAAGCACAACAGAAATATATGATTTCTCCCTTTAATCATCTGGTGGCCCCTCAGATTTTTCTTGGGACACGTTGAGGGGTCTGGACCCCATGTTGGGAACCACTTTTCTCCTGAGTATTTCCGGCAGTACAGAGGAATAAGAGATACAACGATAATACATGTTAGAACCAGAAATTCTTTTTTTATTTTATGGTGAACAGTAGGAAATATATTAATGTATCGCCAGCCATATTCTTTAATTCCTAATTTAGAAACCTGAAGTTAGGAGATAAAGTTAGGAAGTGTGCAGTGTGAAAATGGTTTCACTTCAGTTAAAGGAGTCTGTAAGAACAATTCTTATTATTCTCACTGACAAATCATGTATTTTATGTGATCTTGCACTCATAAATGGACTGTTCTTGGTCATTGTTTGAGTCTCTGATTAAAAACAGCTCTGACCATCAGAGTTTCCACTGGTATCCATGATAGTATAATCCTCTACTGCAGGTGTTTCACAGTAACTGTGCCAGCTGATTATCTCCATGCAGTCACATTGGAAGGGTTATTATTGCAGCCAACACCTTGGAGTACAAACAAGGGTGCAGAATCATGGCAGCCAAATAATATGTGACTGTATGCAGAAAGCAGCTAACTAGGAAGTGTTGCTACCATTTATTTGCTGGCATTATTATGTTATCAGCTCTTACAGTCACTGGGAGAGTGTGGATAAAGAGGAGGCTGCCAACGTACAAAAACTAACTTTTTCTTCCTTCTTCCACTCTCTGAATCAGTTGCGAGTTGATCTTTCATTTACTTAATCCCTTCTCGTCTTTCTCCTCCAATTTGTCCTCCCCTCCTGCACTTTTACCTCAGTCTTTCTCCTGTTTGATCCCTCCTTCCCTGGCTCTCAATTTTATTTTCCTCAGTCTCATCTTCCCTACTTTTTTGAACATTTGTTTCCTTCTGTCTTTATGTACTAGCTTCCTTCCTTATTTCCTGTCTTTCCTTGTCCTCATCTCTTTCCTTCTATCCACCTGTCTTACCTCATGTTCTACCTTTCCTCCCCTCCCCTTCCCTTCCTTCTGTCTTTCTATTTACTTTCTGGTGATTCATCTCCTGAAAGTCAACTCTATTAAAAATTAATTGGCGGTCTCTCTGTATGAACACTTTCATTCTCTTAAAACACACCTCTTTGTCAAACTTCAGTCGTGTGTGTGTGTTAGTGTGTGAGAGGGACAATTGCAGCACCTTGTGTGTCTTGTAGTAACTCACTCTCTCCTCTATGTGACTGCAGGTTCCTGAGGGCTGCAGGGTGGCCGGGCGATTTGATTGGCTGGTGGAGGGCTCACGCTGATTGCTGATTATTGGTGGTGGGGGGGTAACCCAAGAAAGAGAGCAATGAGGGGAAAGAGAGAAGTAGAGAGGGAAAGAGAAAGATGGGAGGCAGGTTTGCATGTCTGCATGCTCACATATTCATAATCAGCAAAGCATTTTGGGTTACTATGGGAAGAATGAAGGGTCATAAGTAGAGGAGAAGATGACCTTAAAGCCAAAAAAGGCACTAGGATCATTTAGTGGCAGCCACTGGAGAAGACCCACCCTGACCTGCAGGAGTTTCTGAACATTCTGTTGCAAAAGTCTGACATGGTCAAACCACAGCAGCAGTGGCAGACAACAGAAAGATTTATACTCATTCACAGGGATAGAAACTACAATCCCTCTGCTCTGCTGCTGGACTGAAAGGTGAAGCCACTATCAGACTTTTATTAGACTAAACAGAAGCTGCAACTTGCTGCCTGCTGGTCCGTAAGGGTCTTAAAAGATGGCTACACACCTCCTCCAATCACAGAGTTTCAGCTCCCAGAGAGCAGTGCAGCAGGAGGTTTTTTTCTCTCTGATTGGTTGTGGATTTATCCTTTAATGACAGGAGCATCTCCCCACCTCACTGATTCACTGACTGCTTTGTGCTTTAACAGGAAAAGTTGCCTTTTATAAATTCAACAAGTCTCCTCTGTAGGTGCAGGTCAAAGTGTTGGAGGAAAAGTTTTTCCAAGTCTTTTGTAGCAGCTGCCATGGGCCACTCAAACCGTAAAATAGCATTTTGACAAGAAATTCTCATCACAAAAGATGACATAGCAGCTGAGCGACTTCATCTGCAGAGGAAGGCCATAAGGTGTGGCTGAAAGCTTCGGAAACATCAAGTAAGTAACTTTGTGATGAGATGTTTTTTGGTCAAATTGCTATTTCCAAACTCAAAAAGAAAAGAACACTGTAGCTTTCGGCTTTAAGTTGTCTCAGCGTACAATTCACATTTTTTACACGTGCCATTTGTACTTGAATATATTTAAAAAATATTTCAGTGTTTCCTTACCATTTATTCTCTGAGTCAAGCTGTCAACATGTAAACGTTTCCTCCAAACATTTGCTCCAGCTCCTCATGAGAGACAGTTCAGCTGATTTTAAACTCATCATCAGGGTTTGTCACCTTCTGAGGGTCAGCTGTGCTTCCAGTATTTGCTGCCACTAACAATGTCAGTGCTGCTCTCATCCCTGTCATCATCATCTGTGCTCTGTTGGTGATGTCTGCCTGCCTGCCTGCCTGCCTGCCTGAGCCACTCTGCTCCTCATGCCTGCCTTCACCCTCATACAGTCGCATGTCCATAACGTGTACCCCAACATGATTAGGCATTTCATCTGTGACTTTAACTCCAACTTTACAAGTGTGTGTGCAACTTTGGCTGAGTTGTGTGTTGAATGCTGCCTCATTGTGATGTTTTAATGGATGTCCAGCATGAGTATGATTTTATTTTTGTGCATTTAATGTTACTCATCAGACAGATAGCAGGACTATCAGGTGAATACAGGACCTTTCTACCCCTCTCTTTCTTCCTACCTTTCCTCCTCTTCTTCCTGGGTTGTAATTCCACCAGTCGACCAGCAGATGGGAGCCTTCCCTCACCAAACCACAGCTCAGCTCCAGCCGGACTGGGCCGCTTTCAATAACACCAAACAGAAAAAGGAGCTCTGGTGTCTTTGCAGTCAGACTCTGCCTTAAACTTCACGTTGTTTTACTGTGGAGGGATTATTCCATACATATCCGGATGTGTCTGCGCTTCTGCCTGACTACATCTCCCATCAACCACCTGGGCTCAGCCTCGCCTCCTTGGGGACTCTACTGCATCTCCATTTAAAAAAAAAAAAAAAAAGAAAAAAGTTTTTGCCATTTAATCAGTTGTATTTGTGAATGTGACGACACGCACGCATGTATCAACAACATGTCCGTACGTCTATGGAAGGCCACACAGGCCAAAAAAAAAACACATTGAATTTTGGCATGTTTGGCTCTCTGTACCTATTAATATGTAAATGTGTGTACATGTTCCTGTGTTACATGCGTGACGTTAGTTTTTACCATTGAATGATTTGTACATATTAACATCTTTTATGTCATGCTGAATGTGTTTCCATGGTGATTGTTTTTAAGTTTGTTTTGATTGACACTCTTCATGAGAGGCAACAAGGTTTGAATTGAACTGATGCACTTTGCCCTGAAGTACTACAGCATTTGAATTGGATTAAATGAACGAGTGAATGAACGGACGGATGAATGAACTAAGGTCTGTGTTGTCTGCTGAGAGAGGGGTGAACTTTATGGATGACCACTGTGTAGCAGCCAGAAACAGAAACAGCTCTAGTAACTTCCTCTTCCTGATGGATTTTATACTCTTTTGTAACTCTCAGTGAGCAATGACCAACTTTTGCTTTGCATGATTTTCTAGATTCTTTGAATTCATTCGTCTCTCTTGTGATCCTGTTTTTTTTAACCATTCACTGTATCTCTTCAACAGACTAACAAAACTACACATCTGAAGTAAAGTTTGACTTCCTGTTGATGCTATTTAAGACAAAATGCCACTGATGATTTGGCTGCTTGTCGATCTAGAAGCAGGTGGCGACGCCTCAGTTGTAATCTGTGTTTCTTTGATGAAGCTGTGAAATGTACAGAAAGATGCTGTCGGTGTTGTTACTTGAACTTTGGTCACGCTTCTCCACACTTTCCGATCTTATCTGCACCATTTTGCATCGCAGAAATAGTTTGACATTGAGAGAACATCGCTTCCCACAACTTTATAGTTTTACACTTTATATGAATCAAACAACACATGGACTTTATTACCTTCGAACAAAGCTAGGCTAACTGTTTCCCTCAGTTTCCGGTCTTTATGCTAAACTAGGCTAACCAGCTGCTGGCTGTCATTTCAGGTTTACCCTACAGATATGAGAGTGGTATGGTATCTTCTCATCTGACTCTCCACAAGAAAGTAAAAAAGCGTTTTTCCCAAAATGTCTATTTTTTTTTTTCTAGGATTCCCTCTGAACTGATTGGCTACTTTTATTTGTGCCATTTTGCATCCCCAAGCAAATTAAACACAGTTTCTGCAGTCAGGTTTTGCTTTTTATGATGCCGCCTTTTAATGCCCTACACAGATTCATCAGTGCTTTTTGTTTGGTGTACACAGCTCATAGTTAGCTACAGCTGCTAGCCTGCTTGTGATTGTGTAGCCCTAAATTGAACTGAAACTGCATATTATTTGGTCTTTTTTGAAAACAAAACTAAGATACAAGTGTTGAATGTTAGATTTTTTTTATTCCAGTGGTAATACAGTCTAATTTCTGTTTTAAAGCAGTTAGGCTAATTATTTTTGATGACTGATTCATTATGTTTGTCTGGTCTATAAAATGTAAAAAAAAAAGAAAGAAAGGAAATTATTTAAAGTTGTAACAGCCTTAGGCGAAGTCTTCCAGCGTTGGTTTTGTTCAACAGTCCCAAGTCCCAAAGATATTCGGTTAACAATGATGTAAACAGAGAAAACAGCAAATTTAAGATTATTTTTTGTTTGCTAAATGACATAAAAACACAAAAAATCACACTAGGTTCAGCACTAAAACCAGAACCATGCTTGTAAATGTGCACTCAGATTTATACATAGTGCAGATGATGATCCTCAGATGTGATGTAAGGCATCACCTCTGTTTCCTGCTAAATGAGTGTCTGTGTTGCTGAGAGGATGCTTGCAGGACATTCTTACTATCTCTCGAACAGATGGTGCACCTCCAATGTTTCATTTTCCTTAAGTTCCTCCTGTAGGTCAGCTCATTAGACATGTTTGGAGTTTACTGTCCCTTTAATTAAATAATACATGATGTCAGTAGTAACACAGCAGCTTTGAAATGAGTAAACTTTACCAAAAACTCCCATTAACAATCTTTTTTTTTTAAGGTCACCATACATATAGAAACTGTGAGCTGAATATAGTAGCTACTGTGCTTTAATCCTAAATATTATGCAAAAATACGTAATAATAAAGCAGCTTTGAGATGGCAAATATGATAATGTTCCTGCCAAGCTACTGTGAGCGTGGTGCCATTCAGCACCCAGGAAAAACAGACGTGTTCTTCTTCTACATTCCTCTTGTTATAAACTCCCACCATCATGTTTGTCCTGTGGAAACTTTGTACAGATTCTCTCCAGCTGTCTCATTCTTAGCCCCTTTTTTTTTTTAAAAAAAATCAGCATCAACACCCAATCACAGTAAATAATAAAAACAGCAGCAGGTACAAAGTGATTCTACAGGATATCAACATCATGTAAATGTGTGTTTTTATCATGTTGTATATGTTGTAATAACCAATGGCAGTACTTCTCTTTCCATGTTGTTGTGCACATCTTTTTACTTTGAATGTTGTCAGACACTTTGTGTACATTTTTTTTTCTTCTTCCAAGATATTGTTCTAATAAAATAAGCAGCAATGAAAAGTGGATTTGTTTTCTGTGATATTTTTTCAGTGTGGGAAGTGATGAGTTAAATTCAGGTGTAACTTCTGTCTCGCGACTGACAGATGAGATGTTTGAGTGACTTAAGGTTTAATACTTTATATGACATCACCAGTAAACTGAGACTCATCAGACCAGGCAACATTTTCCAATCTTCTATTGTCCACTTTTGGTGACCTTGTGTGAATTGTAGCCACAGTCTCCTGTTAGCTGACAGGAGTGGGACCCAGTGTGGTCTTCTGCTGCTGTAGCCCATCTGCTTCAAGGTTCGATGTGTTGTTTATTCAGAGATGGTCTTCTGCAGACCTTGGTTGTAATGAGTGGTCATTTGAGTTATTGTTGCCTTTCTATCATCCTGAAGCAGTCTGGCCATTCTCCTCTGACCTCTGGCATCAACAAGGCAGTTTTGTCCAGAGAACTGCGGCTCACTGGATATCATACCATCCTCTGTAAACCCTAGAGATGGTTGTGTGTGAAAATCCCAGTTAGATCAGCAGTTTCTAAAATACTCAGACCAGCCTGTCTGGCCAACAACCATGCCATGTTCAAAGTCACTTAAATCACCTTTCTTCCCCATTCTGATGCTCGGTTTGAACTTCAGCAGGTCATCTTGACCATGTCTACATGCCTAAATGCAGTGCGTTTCTGTCTCGTGATTGGCTATTTTTCATGTTAATGAGCAGTGTAACAGATGTACCTAATAAAGTGGCTGGTGTGTGCATTAATTCTTATCTAACACAAAGCCTTCAAACATGTCCATAACTTTACAACCAAGATGTGAATTCATTCAGAGCCAGTTGACCTCCGCAGATTGTACACCATATTTATTAAATCTTACACAGTAGTTCATAATAATATAAACATATTAAAATCATCAACATCTTTTTTTTTTTACAGTCAGTCCTCTACAGAAAATATGTACAGTCTATTATTAACATGCTAACGTTTCAAATATGTACAGCTTTAGTCTCTCACATGTTAACTTACTTCCACTGTATTTTGATCATTTCATTCAGGTTTATGCAGAAACAAAAATATTTTCATCTGGAGAAGAAAAAGACACTTCTAGCTACATTTACACATGTACAGGGAGTTTGAATTGTTGCTGCAGATTGGGTTTTCTGCTCCTACTGTCTGTAAATACAGAAGAGAAATGACCATAGATCCTTGTCATCTGATAGTGAGAAAACACCTCCTTAAAAACCTGCTATTTATATTAACTTGTTGCTGTAGATTTATTGTTATAACTGCTTATTTCTTGTCTTCAGTGTTTTTTCATTCATCAAATGTCACACAGATGTAGTAGTAAATGCCTTATTATTTCTATTGACAATATACACAGACGCTGACTTTGAGGGTAAATGTCCTTCCTTTTTACCAGGAATAAATAAAGGCTACATTAACGTCTTTAAGGGGATATCCTCCTTACATTTCACTCTTAACATGCTCATCACAAGATGTGAAGCTGTTGGCTGGTTTTCCCATTTACTCTTAATATAAAAATATGTTTTTGATTAACTGGAATGTCAGTGTAAAAATAAAACAAATACCTGTTGAAGAAAAATTTCCAAACCAGCGTCTCCCTTTAAACCTTTCTTGTCTGCTCTGCTCTCACACAAATATCAGTCACTCCCTTTAGGAAGGTCATTTTTAAAGTTAAGCTGTGATCATCTGTTGGAGCTTTTGTCACCAAAACATTGAGGGATTTAATGACCTGTGAATACTGCATCTCCTGATCTCAGCAATGGATTAATTGAGTAATTGTGTTTTAATAATAATAATAATAATAATGATAATCTTGATCCTGTTATCATAGTAATAGTCTTACCTGTATGCGTGTGTATTTTTTACAAGTGAAGTCTCAGAGTTGTGTGTCTGATGTTATATTTTAAGATGTAAATTGTGCAGACGATCTGAGGGTGATGTGATTTTAAATAAAGTGAAGCTGCAGGTTTACATTGTTGCTGTGAGCCCTGGACCTTACACTCACTGAAACATTAAGTCATTATAAAGTCTAGAGCCAAACTGGCATTTCTCTGGAAAATCACAACGACTGTGAACAGCTGGATTAGTGACAGCATCAAGTTCAGTGGAGTCTGCAGCTGCAGGAAAGTGTGTTTGTTTAAAGTGTATCCTCTTCCTCAGCATAACAGCAGGTCATTTCTGGTCGACTTTCTGCTTTATTACAGTTTATGTCTCTTCTTCCCTTCATCGCAGCTGTTTCTGATCCACCTGATGTTCTACTGAAGTCCAAAGTGTGTCCGGATGTCAGACTTGTTGCTCAGCTGAAGTCAGATTAAGGTTTGTGTTTTGGGCGGGGGCTCCAGTTTCCGTGACAACGCAGTGAGGATGAGGTTGAATTTGTTGTAGCGATCTGATTGGTTGACCGAAGCTCCACGGCTTCCCCACAGCAGCCGCAGCTGAAAGTCTGTTTTAAACACCTCTAACAGGTCCTCGTCACACGTGAAACCTGAAGAAAAAAACCCTTTAATGACACCGTCTGTTTATGTTTGTTTATTTACAAAAATTAAATGTCTTTATGTATAATTGTGCACTTTCTTGTTTTTACCTTGTAGGATCTTCTGTGCGTTGGCCGTGTAGCTGTGTGCATTGTGTGCGACGTCGCGCGCAGCCTCCAGGTGGCGCAGCATGATGTCACAGCCCTGGTCGCTGGTCTCCCAGAGCTCCGCCCCCTCAGGTGCGATTGACGGGCGCTCCATCAGAGTGAGGAGAGGCAGCAGGAGGGGGACGCAGAGCACTGCAGGGGAGGAAGCTGCAGCAGGAGGAGAAGAAGCCAGGTCAGTGGATTTTAAACAGAAAGGTTTTATATTATATATTTAATAATTAACAGCCTATTAGCCAAATTAGATGCTTCACAACCTCTTTGTTTTTGCATCTGAAAATACATATAAATGGTGTCAGCGTTTAACAAGTACATGAATTCAACCTCAGGGCCTGATTTTAGAAATATTTGGCAGTTTCTTTTTCCATTGACTGATCAGATGTTGGAGCTGTTTCAGTCTCCCTGACAATCAGTGATGCTCCTCCGATCAATACGTTTAAGTGATGCAATATGATTTCATCTATGACTGCAGTGTGTGTGTGTGTGTGTGCGCGTGTTCAGTACCTGTGCCTTCATACAGATTCTTGTAGAAAGGTTTGAGTGTTTTCTCGTAGCTGATGGCGGTCTGTGTGTAGTTCCTTCGTAGAGCCGTCCATGTTTCCTCCAAACGGCTGATCTGCAGACAACAACAACACACACCAACTGTCAGTCTCACAAAATATCATAAAACCATTTTTGGATGCATTTTCATTCAATTGGTTGAAGTGATAAAACATGTCTGAAGGTCAAAAAATGTTTGATACGTCTGCAGTGGTTTTTTTTTTATTATTATTGATCAAGTTTTAGGAATTCTTGCAAACAGAGGGACACATAGTTAAAAATAATTATCTCAGTATTTTTAACGGTTATATTTCTGTGTATGTTTTATATCAAGTTTGTGTGTGTGTGTCTGTGTGTGTGTTACCTGCGGCAAATCCAGGGCTTTCATCAGGGCCGTGAAAGCGAACAGGTCGCCCACTGTGTCCTTCAGCTCCAACGCAACCAGAATGATGCGATTTAAGGTGGACGCCCGCTCATCGACACTGCCTGTACATCCCAGAATATCCACAGCAACACCTATTGCCATGGTGTGATGCCTAGGAGACAGAGGTCGGGAGGATTATCATCACCAGCCAACAGCAATGTCTGTTTTTGTTTCATTAAGTCAGTTTCAAATCTGATCTTTCAGTGGTGTCTAAACACTGACAGGAAGTACAGTGAATCAGTGGGTATGAGTCACTAATGATGTCATCTCAAATGTCAGTTCAAGTCAGTTCAACCTTCTTGGCTTGGAAATCCTTAAAAGTACTCAGTATCTCACAAGCAAATAGCAAAGATGACAAAAATGTCTGCAAACAAACAATTTTGTGGAACAGAAATATAAACATATATATGTATACATATATATATATATATATATATATATTCTCTTTACATTGTTTTATCATTGTTGTGACCCCTGAGATTTGTCTTGGACCCCTCAGGAGAGCCCTGACCTCCTATAGGTTTAAACTTAAGTTTTGACAGTTAGACATTTTGGGACATATGTCCTTACCTGTGGAAAGAGCCAGGCAAGCCACTTCCCCCTGTCTCCACTCATCATGCTAAGGCTAGGTAACAACTGCTAGTTCTAGCTTCATATTTAATGTACAGACAGAAAGTGAATAAGCTTTTTCCCCTAAAAATGTCGAACTGTTCCTTTAAATGTAAATTGTGAGTTTGAAGTGTGTAAAATAGCTTTTTCATAGGGACTTCCATGAGTTACTTCATTGATGCAACATTTGTGCCATCATGTGTGTGTGTGATGTGTACCTTTCCATCAGGTCTAGCCTCAGCTGTTGACCGTGTGGCAGCGTCACCAGCTCCAGACCAGAGGACACGCCCATGCGACCTTTAACCTCTGGAGTCACTCCAAGTATCCTCGCAACCTGGAGGGAACAAAAAGATTTATAGTTGTTTTATCTTCTACTCTCATTTCTTTCCACTGTGTGTGTGTGTGTGTGTGTGTGTTGATTAGATGTAATATTTTATTTGGTTCAAGGTTGTTTTCTCTCTGAGTGATTCTCCCGTATCATGAGGATCATTTTATTGCATCAGCTGCAGAATAGAAATCTAATTCTCTGACACACACGGAGGATCAGTGTGGAACAGCACCAGTAAACATGTTTACCTCCAAATTAGACGTGTGTGTGTGTGTGTGTGTGTGTGTGTGTGTGTGTGTGTGTGTGTGTGTGTGTGAGAGAGACAGACAGAGAACAGCCTTCTGGTTTAAAACTGTTGAACGGAAACAGGTTTTATTGAAGCATCCTTTATGTTTTAAAGAAGGCTTTTTTAATGGTTAGGTAATCATTTATTAATGCTTGATAAATCAGTTTTTTATACA